GCAGGGGAACGTGCTGCAGGGCTCTGCGACGCAGCCGGACGACGTCGGCCATCGGCACGCCGCGGCGAAAAAAAGCCCCCACGATGAACGCCGGGTCGCGGGCGATGCACCCGAACAGCCCGCCCTGGGGGGGCAGCCCATGATCGCTATCCACGAAGCGTTCTGGCCGGTGGAGCAAGCTCATGCGCATCAAATGTCCGCCGCCGCGCCCTGCGGAATGAAGTAAGCGCGCCTTCAGGTCCCCAGGCACTGGGCCCCAGGCTCATTCCTCCAGGAATTCAAAGATCTCTGACTTTTTGGGCCTAGGACGAGGTGGCCACGAGGTGGCCCTAAAGTGGCGACGTCCAGGATGCCTCTGACCCGCCAGCCAGGCACGGTGGCGGGATATGCCGAAGGCAACTAGGTAGCAGTCGCGGCAGAGCGCGGCCCGCCGCCGCGCGTTGCGCTCTGTGTCCTGGCGCGGCGACGCTGCGACAATCCTGGCCAGGAGCTCGCTGCTGCAGGGTGGCGGGCGAGTTCGCTGGCGCCGCAAACTCCTCCGCGCGGACTTTCGCTGTCCTCCTTATGACCGTTGCGGCCGATCGGAGGACGTCGTGCCTGACCATGCCGCGAGGCGGCCGGGCGGCGGGATCCAGCGCTCGCTTCAGAACTCCGACGCCCGCCCGAACCTTGCGAGCGAATTGGCGGGGCCACCGCGGCATGGAAGCGCGAGCGTGGCTCCGGCTCTCCCGTCGGCTCTCGCTGAGGGCGATCCCTGACTGGGCCCCTGGCGGCGCAGGCTCCGCAGGCGGCTGCGCGGAGCGTTCAACTGGCCCCGCCGACGCGCTGGCGCGCGTCGCGCCCACGGCGCGCCAAACATCGGGGAATCGCCTGATCTGCGCACTATCAACTGCGGTGGACACGAGCTCCTGGACTGCCTGGTCCTTGATGTACCACAGGCCTTGGCCGCCCTTCAGACTCGCGGCGGGGCAGCTGAACTCGCGCGCGGCGTCGATGACGTAGCGCCAAGACCCTGCTGCAGGTATGGCCCAGTGGTGCGTCGCGGAATCCAGAAGCACTTTCTTGGCCAAGTGCACCTGGCCCGCAATGCACTGGCGGGGCAGCGCGCTCTCAGCTGGGGCGCCTGGCCAAGTTCTGGCCAAGGCCTCTTGGCACGCGGGGTGCTTTGCAATCGAATCCTTGCCAGCGTGCAGAATGTGCCACCCAGGTCTCAGCCACGCGAAAGGCCGGGTCTACACGGGCTTGATGCCTCGTAGCATTGCTGATGCCATCTGGGGGCCGTGAACCGTAAAGGTCCGCCATGGAAGGCGGGCGTCGGCCTCCATGCCAGGCGAGACAGGCGCGAGTCCCCCCCAAACGCCTTTCGAGCCAAAGCGCGGCGGCACGGAAGAGGGTGAGAAAGACGGGGTGTCAGGGCGTCAAAATGCACCATGCTTCCCCGTGCGTAACCCCCCTGCCATCTGAAAACCCATGGTTTTTGTTTCTACGTTTTCTTCCCTGAGCCCTGGCATGCGCAACTGGCCGTCGCCGTCGGCCTCCTTGCCCAAGCGCGCGCCCAGACGCTTCGCCTCTGCTGTGAACAGATGGCATTGGTACCGCGGGTACGCCTGCACCACTGCGCACTGTTTAGACGCGCGCTGAAAGGCAACGACATCCAAGCCGCGACCCTCCGCCACGTCGCCGCCCGACTCCTCGCGATGCGTCGTCTGGACGCGCCCGACCCCGCCGTCGCAGTTGAACCACAACCGCGTCAACCACAGAGCGAGTAGCTGCACCTCCAAGCGCGTGCCAATGAACTCACTGAACAAATGCACGTCAGCGTTGTTCATCTGATAGTTACATTACCCCCGCGCGTGGTCTGACCAATGCGGGTCCTGCCAGAAAACAGAGAAAAGCAGCCCAGAATTCAGGACGCGGCGCTGGAAGACACCCCTGTGTTTCATGCCACCACCACTCTGAGCGCAAAGGGCACACTCGGCACGGAAATCCAGCTAAACGCCGCGCCCAACAAAAACTGAACCCCTTCTTCCGTTTCACCGCGTCCTGGAGTAACTGCAACGCGGCCGGGTCCACGCACACCTTCTCAAAGAAGGCCTCGGCGGCGGCTGCCCCGTGAATTTTCTCCACCGTGCTGACCGCTGCGGCGTTGGCATAAGCGGCCAGCTCCGAGACGCGCTCGCGGATGTTCATCGGCCCTCTGCGAAGTCCGTCAAGCCTGTGTCCTGCACGCGGCGCCGCTGAAAAAAAAAGAAGCTGTGGCAACAAATGGGTGGAACAAAGCAAGGGGGTGACAAAACAAACAAAATTACCTGGGCATGCTCTGTGGCATTTTCACACCCATGTCCTGGAAACTCATGCCCTCCATGAGCGCGACAGCATGGATTCCCATCGGCGTCCACGCAACGTGTTTGGTGTTTAATGTCTGGGCCATCCCCGCCCCGATGGGGACAGCACATCACTCGATTAAGCACCATCTGGGCCAAACTCCTGAGGTAAGGCTTGGGAGGGCGATGAGGGGTGAAGATGATGATGATGATGATGATGATGACGATGATGATGATGATGATGATGATGATGAGGAAGAGGGAGAGGATGAACTGGACGACTGCGAAGATGATAGGGAGGAGGAGGAGGAGGAGGAGGAGGAGGAGGAGGAGGAGGAGGAGGAGGAGAGGAGGAGGAGGAGGAGAGGGAGGGGAGAGGCGGAGGAGGCGGAGGAGGAGGAGGAGGGAGAAGGAGAGAAAACGAAGGGGGGGGGAAACGAGGGGAGGAGGAGGAGGAGGAGGAGGAGGAGGAGGAGGAGGAGGAGGAGGAGGAGGCAGCTGAGGAAGAGGAGGAGGAAGAAAAGGGGGAGGCAGCTGAGGAAAAGGAGGCAGAAGCCGATCAGCCGATAAGCGGTCGACCAGCCGATCAGCCGATCAGCCGATCAGCGGTCGACCAGCCGATAAGCCGATCAGCTGATAAGCGATCGACCAGCCGATCAGCCGATCAGCCGATAAGCGATCGACCAGCCGATCAGCCGATCAGCCGATCACTCTTATCGGCTGATCGGCTGATCAGCTGGTCTGCGTCTGATCGGCTGATCGGCTGATCGGCCAGATCGAATAGCCCCCCCGGGCTGCAGCCACAATGCCAAAACTGCTCCAATACGGTCAAACATACTCAACAAATCGTCCCCAGACTATGTTTGGACTATTTTTGAATACTCTTCCTGTAGAGGGACAGGCCCGACTTAAAACTAACACCAAATGCAACGTGTCTTGTCCCACGCTGCGGGCGATCTTCCAAGCGACCTCCAAGAGATCCCACGCGCCCCAACTATTGCCGCCACACGGTGCAAAGGACCTTCCAATGTGGCCCACGCCCACGACACGCCCAAGACACCGCCTCGAGAGGGTTGCGCATGATCAGCACAGAGCGGCATCAGGACCCTCGGAAGACCCACCCAGGGTGCCGAACGACCCTCAACGATGGCCCGAGGCCAGCGAGCTCCCAAAAGGCGAAAGGAACGTGCCAGAGGAACCCCGCAGCAAACTAATTGACTCCCCCTCCCTGAAAAAGAACGATGCCAAATGCTTCGGCTCGCTGGACATCTCGGAGGACACTCGTGGGCATTATCCGAACCGGGCACCCAGCTCTTGTAATTCACGCACCACTGCCACCTGGGGAAGAACGAGGGGCATGGCGACAAACCTTGACACCCCAGGACGTCCGTATTTCTGGCGTGGGAAATTCGGGAGCGGCCAAGAGGGGGGTGTCCAAGAGGGGGGGGGTGCAAATCATGACCAGCGGCATGTGCGCGGCCCAGCGGGGGGGCCAGGGACGTAATGAAACAAGAAGAAGCGCCATGAAATCTGGGGAAATATCATGGCCCACGCCATGATATCCCCCCCCCTAGTCATCACCCCCCTCTTTTCCGCCCCCGAAAAATGGGCCTGGCAGCTGAGCGACGACCAATCACTGGTCTTACGCGAGATGGCGCGGCGACCTTGCGCAGCGGCTCACGCGGGCCGCCCGCGCGGCCCGCCACGTTTGAGGCGAGGGCGCTCACGCGCGACCTTGCGCGGGCAGCTTACGCGCCAGTGTCGGCGAAGACGGCCCCGGTGTTGCCTTACGTCGATCGTGTGGATGCCCTAGTGGACCATGGGACGCACAAGGGCATCCTACATGGTGCTATGTGTCCTCCTCGGAGGCGTGCGCCCGATCCGAACATATCGTGCAGCCGTCTCTTGTAGCATATCGCTTCCCGAGCGGTGTGGCCAGACGGCGGCCGCCGCGGAGCTTCTACGATGAGACGTCTCGGCGCGCGCGCCGCCGCGGGGGGAGCGACGCACGCACAATATCGGTATATTGGGGTGACGCCGATGGGATGCCCATGCGGTAAAACAGGGCTAGGATCGGGATAAATCGCTCCAGAGCGTTCCGGAGCGCTCTCAGAGCGTTCCGGAACGCTCTGGAGCGGCCGCGGCGCCCAATACATCCTCCAAACCCGCCGATTCTCAGAGATTTCGAGTTATCCCGATCCGATTTTGTCCCGATCTTCGCGTCGTTTTATGCGGGCATGTGGACGCCCAGGCGGGCCCTTGGAAGCCCGAGACGAGCACGGTGCCCAACAGCAGAAAATCCGCCCCAGGCAGACAGGAGGTGGGCGGGCGGCCTTCTGTCTCAAGTGGACCACGCCCGCGGCGACACCGACAGCGAGCCCTGTTCCAAATGAGCAGGAACTGCTCTCGGTCTTCGTAATGCGGGATGACGATTCATAAAACAAATGGGGGAGAACGATTGAACAAATAGTTGTCTGCTATTTCTGCACAATTTTCTGACTGGGGGAGAACGATTACAATATAGTTTTCCAGCCCGCGGCCGGTTTTTTTCTAATCGTCATCCCAGGCGCCGCCGCGTGAACACGACCCCCGGTCATATTAATCGTCATCCTCCATCATCCCCTCTTGACGTACCGACGGCAGGGAGCAGGGGCGATCCGGGCGGCGCCGGCTGGCCTCGCGCATGCTGGCCTGGATCTGCGCCTGCGCCTCCTCGATCTCCCGGATGGACTTCCCGCGGGTCTTCGTGGCGAGCTCCTCCTCGCCCCGGCCGGCGGGGGGCCGCGGCGGCCGCGCAGAGAAGCGGCGGCAACAGACTGCCCGTTGGAGACTCGCTCGCCGTCGCTCGGACGCCCATTTCCCGTGCATTTTTCGGTTTCGTGCCTGGTTTTTTTTGCTCGTTGGTCGAGGAGGGTCCTCGATGGTTCTCGCCGAAAAAAAAAGAGGCACACGTCCGAGCGATGCCAAGCCCAGCCGGCGGGTGGCAGCGGCGGCCCGCTCACAAAGGCGGCGGCAACAGAGGGCCCGTTGGAGACTCGGAGGGCGGACGGCAAGACGAGCCGGTCGGGCCACTGCTCTGCCCTGGCCACAGAGCACCGGACTCCGGTGCTGGCAGGAGGCTGGGATCAACCTGGTGGACGTCCAAACTCTGGTGCGCACTCCAACGCGCATGTACAACATCCACCAGAGGATGCACGCAACCAATGGATTCCAAACATGTTCGCAGGTGCAACAGGCCCATGTTGCTTGACGTTCTGCTCGAAGCATGACTATACACATACTCTCTCACTCTCTGCTCTCCCTCTCTCTTTCCCTCTCTTTCTGTGGTTCACTCGCCTATGCAATATCTTTGTCTGTCTCTCTCTCTGTTATGTGTTCTGTCTGTCTCTCTCTCTCTCTCTCTCTTCTTCCTCTTTTACTCTCTGTCGCAAAGTAATAGCTATATCTAAATATGTGCTCACTCCCGTCTTTCTCACATGTACTTAAAATCTCAGTTTGTTTTGCGGTGCGCAGCATCTATGGCATAGAATGTACGACTTCTCTCTCACTCTCTGTCTGTTTTCTCTCCCTCTTTCTCCATATTATGTCTGCGCCCTCTCCCTCTACACACAACTCTTAGCTATGTTATCTGCTATGCCATCCTAATCGTGGGCACCTGTACTCTCTCTCTCTCTCTTTCTCTCGCTCTCTCTTTATCTCTCCGTCTCGCTCCCATGGTCCTCTCTCTCTCTCTCTCTCTCTCTCTCTCTCTCTTTATGTATATAGATATGTATGTCAACTTATATACGTATATATGAATATACCTGCATGAAGGAGCGCGCCCGTCGCGCAGTCCTTTCTACCCCAGCTTCCAGCTACACCCCCCTCCCCCCTTCTTGTCGGCACGTTTGGGCTGGAAGGGGGGGCCCCAGCTAAAGGGATGGGGGGGGGGGCTTGGAAACCGCCACCCCTCCCCCTCTTCTCGGAGCCTGGGGTCAGCCCGGGCTCCCCTTTCGAAGGGGGTGAGGGCTTCCGAAGCTATCTGAAGGGGCCCCAGGACACACAAATAAATACACACAAATAAACAGATTCCCCATATTTTCCCATATTTTCTGGGTTTCTGTCTTCCCCCCCACTTCCCATAGTTTCCCATACTTTCTGGGGAATCGACGATTAATTGTGTCTGTGTGTTTTTTTCCCTCCTGACTATCCCCGCTCCTTCTGTTTGGGGTTTGCAGCTGGGGGGCCCCTGGCCAAAGGGTGGGGGGTTTGGAAGCTACACCCCCGCCTCCCCTCCTTGAGGGGTCCAGGGCGAACCTGCGTTCCTCTCTCCAAAGGGTGGGGGGCCTCCGAAGCTACCCCCCCCCTCCCCTCCTTTTGCTGGCCTTTCCAGCTGGAGGGCCCTGGATGACAGGGGGGCTTCGAAGCGACTTTTCTCCTTTGGTTGTTGGCGCCGTGTTGGTTATCGGGCATACTTGTGGTTCTCGGCGTCTCTTTGGTCTTCGGCGCCCCTTTGGCCTTTGACGCCCCTTTGGTAAGCGGCGCGTCTTTGTTTTTTACGCTCCTTTGGTTTTCGGCGCTCCCGTGACGTGGTTTTCAGCGCTCTTCTGTCTTTCGGCGCCCCTTTTGGTGTTTTGCGCACCCTTTGGTTTTCGGCGCATCGTTGGCGATCGGCGTCTTCTTGGTCTCCAGCGCCCCGCCCGTTTGGTTTTCGGCGCCCCCTTCGTGCTCGGCGCCCGTTTGGTTTTCGGCGCTCTTTGGTTTCCGGCGCCCCTTTGGTTTTCGGCGCCCTTCGGCTTCTGGTTGTTGGCAACCCTTTGGTTTTCAACGCCCGCTTGGTTACTGGCGCCCATTTAATTTTCGGCGCCCCTTTGGTGGTCGGCACATCGTTGGTTGTCGGCGCCCTTTTGGCTTCCGGAGCCTTGTGGTTTTCGGCGCTCCTTTTTGGTTTTCGGCGCCCTCTTGGGTATTCGGCGCCTCTTTGGTGTTCGCCTTTCTTTCTGATTTCGGCGCCCTGTCTGTCTTCGGAGCTTCTGTTGTATTCGGCGCCCCTTCAGTTTTCGGCGCAACTTTGCCTTTCGGCGCCTCTTTGGCTTCGGCGCCCCTTTGGTTTTGGCGCCGC